GATTGTGAATAGACAAGGTCAAAAGTCTGCTGATATTGCTACTGTTAAAAGAAATCACTTGGAAATACATTTTATTTACAGAAATTATTACCTTGTGATCTTTTACTCAACTTTATTTTCTTCCTGTCTTTTTCCTTGAGAATATTTTAACCAAAACATTTAACAGAATCCCAATATTGATATTCACTTCCCAGATAAAATTACCTTGCAGTAAATGAAAGATTTTTAAAAGTGTCTGCAACAAGCTAGAAAACATTATGAATTTTAATAAAGTCTTGGGAAATGTAAAAATAAATATTCTGTTTTGAAATCCCACAAAATGGAAACACACAGATAATTTCATGAAATTTACTTCCTGTAAATAGTCTCTTCTGTAGTGTTTTATTAAGCATTGAGAAATTTTTAGCAGAAATCTTTATTGAAGTCAGTTATTTCCCTTTGAAAAATGAACAGAAAATTAATTTAAAAAGGAAAATAACACTGCTTTCTCTTATGGCCTCCCCAAGGCAGTGAAGACCTATTTTCTTCCCATTCCTGCCCAAAGATTTAAATCTGAGAACTTAAAACTTCTGAGTCCTCTAAAAAGGATTTAAATCCACTTAGAGGAAAGGTTATAAATTACATTAGGCTCTTGTCCCTAGCTACAGAAAGGGATAAGGAGACCCCTCTTTAAGCATGGTAGACAGATGCCAACAGTCCAGTCGTGGAACTTGCCTAGAGGAAAATGGGACATTTCTTCATGCCTCTTTCTTCTCCTTCATGCCAGAGGGCTGTGGTGACCTGTCATGATGGAGCCATTGTTTCCTGTTGTTTTGGGGCCCATGGAAGAGGCAGATCCCTCCTTCATGAGTTATGTTAACCATAGAATATCATTTTTCCACAGACTTAAGATCACCTTGCCTAGGCAGAAAGTCTAAGTCATTAACCAGGTGACAAATGTGGGCTGAAGCATGTGTTTTTTCCTCCTACAGTAGTTAAAGGAAGTAATTCTCCAATCTGATAGAGTGCTAAATATATTGAATTGCTGCTGACTTTTTGTTTATTCCAAAAGAATTGTGAATAATTGTTCTTTAAGGTCAGACAAAACAAAAAAATTAAAACAAACATACAAAAAAACAGCTTCAAATTCTGCCTGTCTTCATTGACAGAGTGGTATAAAAACCTAGTGTGGGTATTTTTCATGCCAGGGATTCAGTTTCTAGTTTTAATGTGTGTGTATTTAATCCAAAGCCCAAAGACAGTTTCATCAAATAAAACAGGGCTATTTCTGCAGAAATGTGAACAAGTACCTGAATTCCAGAAGAACTGGGGAAAAGTCTAGGTCCTATAAACTTGTGCATTTAAACTGTGCTTCTTGCATTAATCTTCATTACTAATTAGCATGCAGGAGTAATTCCCTTCCAGAGGTTTGTTAAATTTGTATTTCACTGACTTCATGATGTGTAAGCTGTCTGTGTACTTGCATAGCAATATGTTATACACACTGAGAATAAAGAAGATAGAATGAAGATTCAGTACATTCTTTATTTGATTTAAACTTCCTTTTAAAAGCTTTAATTCAAAGATTTCTTAAAATTTGACAAAAGGACCCCAAAGAATGCAAACCTGAACAGCAAGACTAGGACCCATCCTATGTCTTGTACGGGTGAGAAGGAGACAAAGATTATGCTGAAATATTATTTCTTAAAACTTGTCCTTGAATGACAGAATGAGAAGAAGCAACAGAAACTGAAGTGGAGGAGGGAGTGTGCGTGCAGTGAAGAGACCGAAATTGTCAGTGTAGGTGATATGGGGGGCTGTATGAAACGATTGCCAGAGTAGCAGGCCTGAGGTGAAGTACACCTTAGTGCGTTAAGTCCGTATGTTACGGCACTTGGAATTCAGTCCACTGACACTTGTGGGAGCTGCCATCTGAGACTGTGGCCCTTGCTATATAACCAGGGACTGAGGACATTCCACCATACCAATGCCCAGGAACTGCCTGTGCAAAACACAGTTGAAGGAACTGCAGGGAGATTAAGCAGACTTAGGTGTGCTGACTTTTGATCCTCTGTCTGTAGTACCCAAACTGGCTGTAAGCGAACCTCGCAGTGAGCTATTGCCACTGCCAGACAGAAGTGGAGACACAACACAGTGCTGCAGGATGGCGTGGGCGTACCTACTTGTGAAGGATAGGCCGAAGGAGGTGTGCCATAAGCCAGGACCAGCACTTTCTGGTATGCCATGCAAGACTTCAGTCCTGAGAGGCCTGGAGGAAACTCATGGGACTACTTGCTAATTCTCTGTTCCTTATCATGGCATTTACAGACAAAAGTAGTGCAAAACAGCCTACGCCACCCTTTCTCTGGCTGATCTCTGCTCAGACACCCTGGCCCACTTCACCATCAGTGGATTTCTGTCTGTATGACTTGCTCTGCATCACGAGTTCCTGCAGATTTTGGCCCTGTGTCTCTGAACAAGGAGTTCAACAGCTGACAGCTGACGCAGATTTCTTTTACCTTAGGCAATTTTCCAGCCTCCACATTCTGGAGCACAGCTTTAAGGAAGAGACTGAAGCGAACAAACAGTCTGTTCTTCTCATGTGTTCCTCAGAAGACATGACTTTCAAATCCTACAAGTCTGGGCCAGTCTTGTCCTGTCAGTCCTATTAGCTGTAGAGTACCAGAACACTGCTGGGACCACCCCACAGCAAGAAGGATATACAGACATGCAGCAATGGACCAGCATCCATGATTGTGAGGTACTTCTGGAGATGCTCCACCAAAGTCGTTAGTGTTATGTCTGTCTTTTGCAACAAAAGAGATGACACAACCTTGTACGTATATCACATACGCAGTGTTAAGGACACATTTCTGCCAAGGACATTTGTCTAACTATAGCACTTGATGGGAGCTGCTAACAAACCTGTGTACTCCAAAGGCTGTATTTTTTACCTCACGATTCATTGCAAGGAAGATCCCATCCGTTTAAGGAGGTCTGCTGGAAGGACAAGCTGCTGGGTCAAGGATGGCTGGCTGGGGTAGGCTTGTTGTGTGTCAGTTCGTGCCCTGCGTCTCCATTCTCTCTCCAGTCATGGACAGTGGGTACACAGGGTGCTTTCATACAAGACCAATAACTTGAAAGAAAAAGCCATAAATTGGATCACTAAAAGGATTTTTAAAGTCTGATTGTGAGTTGAAACAAGACAGACATTTTAGAACTTTTTGAAGCAGTGGTTTAGTTTATGTCTCTGCTCCGCTACAGAGCTGTACAGATGTTTGTAGCAGTCACAAAAAAGGAAATGAGGGCAGGCTGCACCACAACATTTTAGAAGCCATTAATAAGATTTTATGTTGTTATTCTGAAGGGGATTTTCTGCTGCTCTCAGCACAATATTGTGACTTCCTGAGATGGAAAAAATGATGTATTCTTACTTCATCCTGAATAACTGCAGCCAGCATGAGAACAAATCCCAGGGAGGACAAGATGATTTGCAGTTTCTGTACATGTGAGGAAACTCCAATATTAGACCTACAAAAGGGCCCAAATGCCACCTAGCTTCAAAATGTCATCTGGCTTCAAAATAGCAGCAGCCAATCTTTTTGCAGCACCCCAGAACAGAGGGACAAGCTGACCTTGAGCCTGCTGAGCGATGGCTCTAACCCTTGTGTGACAGCTGAAGCAAGGAGGGCTCCTACCCCTGCATGGATTAAAAGGAAGTGGCAGCTATCGTCTTTGACAATGGCAACCCAGGCTCAAGGACTTGGCCCCAGGCTCAAGTGACGGAGCAGTCACATTGCTTTCTCCAGTGCCTCCTGGGTGCAGCAGCCCCCAGAGTGTCCCATTTCAAAATGAAAGAAATAGTTTCTGTTTAGAGGAGCAGGGAGAACAAAAATTTTAGTCCTTCCAACAGAAAAAAAAAAAGAAGGTATTTTGTTTCCCAGGGAATTCCTATATTGGTACATTTACTTTAATCTGATTTACTTTTGTCCCAATGGGATAAAAGTACTGCATGATGGCATGTTCAGGAGAGACACTTTCCTGAAAGCTATTTTAAAGAGCCATCATAAAGTAATTTCGTTTTGGACTTTATAATTAAGACACAACATTGATACGCCTATGTCTGCTACTCATTGCCATGTATGATACTCTGCTGGCTGGACACAGCGCTTCTGGTAATCCTGCAAGAGATAGTGTTTCCCTCTTGTGGGTGGTATATCCTGGGATGCAGGAACTGGCCCTCTCCAGGGTGCTGGAGTACCTGAGATGGGATAGCGCCTTTGCAGCTCCAATGTACGTCTACTAGGAATTACCACACTGCTCCATCAAGGAATGGACTTGTTATGGACTATATTTGTTATGGGACTTGTAGTTCTTTCAAGAAACAGAGCTCTGAAAGTGTAGCTCCCATGACACAGTGCATCAAAACAGAGAAATTAATTATATAATGTTACACAGAATCATAGAATCATGACTTAAAATAATATGTTCCTGGTCAGTCAGACAATGCAAATCAGCTCAAAGTGATTGCTAAATAGAATATTTTATTCTGGAAAGAAAAGAATCATTTGAACAGAATAATTCTTGAACTTTTTTTTTCATGTTTTCCTATTCTTTCTACTTTCCACATACGTGTATATGTGTGTCTGCATGTCTGTATGTATGTAAGCAACATTGCAGCAAGAATCTACCTTATGCACATCACAGATTTCTCTTCTTAATGCAGACAACCCGGCTAGTTCCTGAACTTTGTCCATCTGCTAGAGCCTAAGGGGCAGCAATATTAAATTAATCATAGTCTGACATTTCTTTGATAACTGACATTTACACAAACAAGTCCTACATGCACATGTTCACATTAGGAAATTAAAGTGTAAAGTAAATAAGATTATCATTGTGTGTTTCTTCTCAAAAACATATTGCAAGTCATTATCTCTTCCTCTAATGACTGAAATTCTGTGTGCAAAATCAAGTAATTAAATTTACATATCTGAATGCATGCCATTTTGTTGTTGTTGCAGGGCCTGTACCAAATGCCTTGTGAATTAAATAATTTCATCGTCAAGAGTCAGTGGAGCTGCTGGCAGATAACTCTTCTTGACACATTGCGTGAGAGAACAGACATGCACTAGAAAGTTCTGTTCCTTCTGTCCCTCTGGAGCGCTCCTGGCGATTCTGGGGGAAGGCTTCAGCAACTGTGCAGCTCTCCTCTTCCTCAGAGAGAAAACTCTGCTCCACACTGGACTCAGTTATAGATCTCGTTGCATTCTTACACGAGTCAATGGGGTTTTTTCTGTCTTTGGTGATGAGACCAAGATAAGCCCACAATAACTGGATGAATTCCAACTGCTTGGCTAGAAATCAGCCAGAGGCTGAAAAGTCCTGTCCCTCTGTACTTGACAGTTGGTATAAGGCTGTTGGATTGGTAGCTACCTCAAAATCCCCTAGATTCAAATAGATAATATGAATTGAATTAATTGAAGGAAGTAAATGAAGTTGAATGAAGTAATAAACAGGAGGGGCAGGGACAGACATTTTGCAACTGATGGAGGCATAACTGAGGATGTCCACATGGGATGCCACAGATGAGGAGGCCAATCTGACATGTTAATTCATTTAAATGCCAGTATTCACAACATATAAAGGTATGCACTGAGAGAAAAACTAGGCACTTCTCACAGTTTTTCTATTCAGTGAATTGATCATAAAGAGTTTATTTTTTTCTATACACAATGGTATTGGGGAATAAAGTTCTAAAAACAGGGAGCAAAAAATATTCAGTAAGCACTTACTACACTTTATTCCATCATAAACTCCAGCAGTAAAGAAAGAGGAATAGGTATTTTCTTTTCCCATCTCACACACACAATCTTGAGAAAAGATTGTGTTGTCAAATGTCCTTATCATTAGGCATCATAATGGTGGGAATTGAGCACTTCAGAAATGAATTTTTTAGTCTGGTCTGGTGGTCTCCAAGGAATCCCTCACTGGAGGATTTGTCTGTGGTTTCTTTCTGCATAAAGGAGAAAAGAATTTTTCTCTCTCTGCTGCAAGTTTCAATCTCTTCACTGGTAAGTGATAAATTATCTCAGATTTTATTACATTTTTCTTCTTTTTTTTCCTGTTATCTCTGCCACCTGTGATTTCTCCGATCTTTGTAGAACCTTATTTCCTTCAGATTTATTTCCAACTGAGGAAGGTATACACTTATCTTTTCATCACCTGAGCCCATTAATCTCTGCTGAAACACAAGCACAGACACAGGCTGGGCAAAGACTTCGGTTGAAAGCAGCCCTGAGGAGAAGCTCAACAAGACTCAACAATGTGCACTTGCAGCCCAGAAACTCAACCATATCCTGTATTCATCAAAAAAAAGTATGACCAGCATGTTGGGTGATTCTCCTCCTTTACTCATTCTGGGGTCCCCAAAATAAGAAGGACATCGACCTGCTGGAGTGGGTCCAGAGAAGGGCCACAAAGATGATCAGAGGGCTTGAGCACCTCTCCTATGAAGACAGCCTGAGAGAGCTGGGTCTGAGAGAGCTGCAGTTGTTTAGCCTGGAGAAAAGAAAGCTCTGGGGACACCTTATAGCACCTTCCACTACCTCAGGAGGAGCCTACAAGAAAGCTGAAGAGGGACTTTTTACAAGGACCTGTAGTAATAGGACAGCAGGGAATGGCTTTAAACTGAAATGGGCATGTTCATATTAGATATTAAGAAGGAATTCTTTACTGTAAGGTTGGTGAGGCACTGGAACAGATTGTCCAGAGAAGTTCTGGATGACCCATCCCTAGAATGCTCAAGGCCAGGTGGGATGGGCTTTGAGCAATCTGATCTAGTGGAAGGTATCTATGCCCATGATGGAGGGGTGGGAACTTATTGGTCTTTATAGTCCCTTCCAATCCAAAGCATTCTGTTATTCTATAAAACCTGCTGTGGTTTGAGAGTCTTGTCAGAATTTTATGCTTGTATTCTTTCTTCTGTCATCAGAGGGAGCTGCAGGTGCTCAGGAGGTGGTTCTGGATTAGTTCAGACTGCTTGTCATATATGCTAGTACACAGGGAAAGGATTTTGCTTTCAAAAATCCAGGGGCCATTAGGAGCATAACAACTCAGCATAGGTGCCTACACAGGGTTTTCAGGAGATGTAGGGTGCAGCAGCACCCATGACTTGAAGCAATCGAGTGGTTATGTTTCATTATCTATCCATGTCTTTCAGGGCATGCCATTAGCAGAGCATAAGACACCCTCACTTGCAGGGGAAGATATTTAATGAGATACCTTGACTGTCAGCACTTCTTGACTGCTCCCATCACCTCTCTGCTCCCACCAGAGGGAACTCCCACCATGGGGCAGCATTGTGAATGGTAGGGAGTAGCTGAAGTGCATCTTGATTTTAGGTTCCCTTTTTTCAGTGGAACACGCATCAGAAAACTGAAGAACTCCTTAGAAGGTAGCTGTCACGTCTGAACCATACAGCTTCTGAAAACTCATGTTCTTGGACGTAACAAAAATGTGTCAGAGTTTGCAATTGTGATACTGAAGCAAAATGATTATTTTTCCCTTATAAAAGCTCTACATTATTTAAATGAATGAAAGGGAAAACCTGGTCATCTGAAGCCTGAGCATTTAGTAATGCTCTCATCTCTTTTCCTGTTTTTTGAGGGGATTCTTAATTTACAAGTTCTAAGTGTTAATCTGGACTGGAAAAAACAAGAACTTTGCTACAGTAGGTGTAAAAAAAAATAATCAAAAATCGTCATAAGGAAAGTTATGAGTAGATGGTCTGTGTAATGGATGATGTGGTGAGTGACTGACAACTCTCTTCATGTTATGCAATTACAGCCTTTGCAAATGGGCCTTCCAAAATTGTGAGACTCTCAAGTTTCCAGCAGCATGTTCAGACATGGTATCTCCTTCACTAACAGTGACAACAGAGCTGCCTCTGCTTAATGTTATAAGGAAGCAGATTCAGCTGAGATGCCTTAGCAGTATTTGATAAGTTTTTAGATACCCTTACAATAATTTTTAACAGCTCTTCACAGTGTGAACAGGATTAGCTTCTTCAACCCTGCTCAGTAACATCAAACACTGTTTTTTCTGGCATTTGAGGCATGCATCTAGCTGATGATTTTACTTGTCAGTATCTGTAAAATATTAATTATTGTCAGATTTGTGGCTTCCATGTAATTTGGACTGACATTTGTATATTGAATATTGTCTTCATTTTCACCATAAAATTTTAATTTACTGTACTTACTATGTAAGTCCAGATACACTGTTTCATATTTTTGAACAAACAAGAACAGTATCATGAAAATGCTGTATTTTTCTCTCTATTCTCTCTATTCTTGCAATTCACAACTATTCCTGGGTAGACATGGTGAATAATATGCTCTTGCTTGGGAAGAAATTTGGATCCTCCACACCAGAAGCAGATTACTCCAAAAGCAGAAAAATTTCCTACAGATGTTATGCTTGTTTTGAACAGAAAACAGGAATAAAGTGGGCGCTGACATGGCAAGGTGTGACTAGCATTGTAGAGTCATTATTTTCCTCTAGCGACGTAAGATTGCCTTTTTGTCTAAACCATGCTGGAAGTAGCTCTTAACTGTGAAACTCTGACAGCTCTCTGCATGGTACAAGAGATTAATTCAGAGCCAAGTGCAAAACAAAAACATCTGCTTATTCATCAGCCTAGTCTTACAGAAGTGATCATAATGTGTACTTCTGGGAGAGAATAGCCTCATTACAGAATCAAGCCAGAGAATTTCCCATAACCAGAAAGCCTTGATTCTCTCACAGCATTTTGTTTTACCACTTCTTCTCCTACTGTGCTCATTAAACATTAAGGAAAAAAAAAACATTCAAGAAACTAATATATTGGATCCTCTCTTTCAGCTGGCCATCTGGTTCAGGTGGATAATTATCTTCTGACATCTGTTCAGTGATACGCACTATATGGTCAGTCAGTCAGTCAGTCAGTCAGTGATCTTAAGCCATTTTCCAGTGGACGCAAATATCTGAAGCTGCAACAATGTTCTGGGGGTCTGCAGGGTCTCCTCTGGGAAGCACTCCGCACATTTGAATTCTAATACTGCTAAATGGCAATCAGCACACCAGATCTGTGTACTGGCAGTTCAACTTGCTGAACAATGTGCTCTCTCCACCTCTGACATTGCAACTGCAAAGTGAGGACGACAAAAGGAAAGATTTTTGCATTTATATCTCCATGCTATTTTCTGCAACACTGTCAGTGCCCCTCCAGGAGCCCACAAGGCTTTCATTTCTTTTCCCGAGGAGCCTGGCAAAAAAACCGTACAAAAACATGTTAGTATCTGCTTGGGTTTTTCAAGCTAATGCAATCAAACACACATCAATTGAAAAATTGCAGTGATGACCCCATATGGTCTCCCATTAACTCACCAGCTCCTGTCACTGTCAGGTGTTCCCTCCATTTGAAAAGGCTCTTTTGCTGTCATGGGTTTTATGATTAAATGCTTTCTGCTGAAAATGTTGGGTTATTGAGTGTGAAAGTGGGAACAGAAGAGGTTCTTTCTTTGATAAATAAAGCCATTTTAGAACATTTCAGAAAAGAAGTTTCAGGATGTTTTTCTTTAATAGTTTCTAATTTTTCTTCTAGTCCAAATCAGCTTTCAAAATGCAGGTAGTCCATATTAAACAGAGGTAAAGTTTATAAAAGGTAGAAATGAAAACTAAGACTCTTTGAATGAACTGATCTGTAACTGATTTCAGAGATCCATTTCATCACATTTTTACAGCAGTGCAATAAGGAACTTCCTAAGCAATTTCTGCTCAGCAATTTGGAATGAGTTTCTGAAGTCATATGGCCTCTGCCTTTGTGCTGTACCCTGAGAGTATTTTCCATAAATCCTCTGTAGGAATGTGCTTGGTGACGAGTGTGACGAGTGCAGCCTTCCCCTTTGACCAGCCCTGTCAGCACATCTGGGATCACTTTTCTCTGGAAATCACAGAAAATGTCACCACGTCTTTCTTAGGTGTTTGCCCAAAACCTCAGCCTGGTCTCACATGAAAACCAATAATTGTATCCTGGGGACACAGGGGCAGAACACACTGCACCGAGGAGCCACAGGCAAATGCTGGGGATGTGGATGCAGCCTGTCTCCCTGAGTGTGGGTGACAGCCACTGAGTCATGGAGTGCATGAGACTGACAGGCACCTCTGGTCCGTCCCCCTCTTCAGCAGGGTCAGCTAGACCTACTTGCCCAGGACCATAGTCAGGTGGATTTTGAGTAGTTGCAAGGACAGAAGCTGCACCACCTCTCCAGACAACTTGTGCTGGTGCATGGTCTACGTCAGAGCAGCAACATTTTTTTCAGTTTTCTTTCAGTTTGTGACCATTGCCTCCAGTCATGTCTCTGTGCACCACTGAAAATATCCTGGCTCCCTCATTTCTTCCAGTCAGGCAGTTATACACGTTGGTAAGATACCCCTGAGTCAGACCAGGGTCATCTCTACCCCAAGCTCTCCAGGCTCTGATCAACCTTCCTTCAGTGCTTTGCCCTCTGGCAAGTCCTCCAAGAGATGAGTGCTGCTGCCAGACAGTTACTGAGGAATGAGACACCCACTACATGTACAACCATTTCATTTTGTACACAATACCTCCTGAGATCATATTCATGACCTAGATTAAAGATTAATGAGTATTTTTAATCACCCTTCTCGTATTATAATGCTTTAAGGCAATCCTTGTTCATCATTCTTAGCGTGGTCTTATACATGAATAAGAGAAGAAGGGTTTGTCTCAGTGAATCTAAAAACTGATAGACCCTTTGATATCTTATTAAATACATCTCCTTTTCAATTGTTTTGAACTAAAATCAAAAAGAAAAATCTATGTGTTGATGTTAGTGTAGAGAACAGGCTGATATTTCTAGAGACAAAAGCTAAAAGAACTGTCTAGAAAAAATACATATCATTCTTATTTTAGGTATGATGTGACTCATATTCATAGAATCATAGAATGGCTTGGGTTGGAAGGGACCTTAAAGGTCATCTAGTTCCAACCTCCCTGTCGT